TACAGGTGCAGTAATTACTAGAGTCCCAGTGTCATTGTACAGGGATTGTTCCTGACACTGTGTGTCTGTGGTTCACTGTTCATCAGAGTGATGGCTTGTGGGTAGAAACTGTTCCTGGGTCTGTTTGTGTTGGCGTACAGCGCTCTGTAGATTCCTGAGTGCAGGAAGTACAACCTGCAGTAAGAACAACAACCTCTGCTGGGCCTTCTTGATGATGGTGTCTGTGTTGGACTCCCACTTGAGGTCCTGGGAGGTTGTGGATCCCAAAACCTGAAGGTTTCCACAGCAGACACAGGGCTGTTGGGCGTGGTGATGGGGGGCAGAGTTGAAGGGCTCCTCTTAAAGTTCACTGTCATCTCCACAGGGTTTGATCGTGTTAGGCTCCAGGTTGTTTTGACCACACCAGAGGGTCAGCTGTTCAACCTCCCGTCTGTAGTGCAGACTCATCACCGTCCTGGAGGAGGCCGATGACTGTTGAGTTTGACAGACTGGTCTCTGTAACATCCCTGCTGGATTGTAGCTGTAGGCACGCTCTGTGTGGCTGAGACGGTTGGCGTTGGAATAGGAGGAGCGGAGGTAACCAAAGAAGATGGGACGGGAAGGTAGAAATGAGAGAAAAGACAGGATGCTGTGGTGGAGGGATGCATGTGCTCAGGTTGTTTGTGAATTCTGGGGTAAAGAAGACGATGGATAAGAAGCAGAAAGGGAAGGTACTGGGTTTGATACGACCTCTGAGAGGGAGGGTGGTACTTTGCTGGAAGTCTTTGAAAAGTTAGAAAAGTTTTGCTTTGTTGTTGGTTTGTTTTCTGTATTTCTTGTCTGACGCAGATCGTGTGGAAACTGAGTCAATGAGGGAGTGAACAGATAAGGTGTGCTTAAGTACGTTTTGAGCATAAATAAGACGAGTGCAATGCGTGGTCTTTGTTCCTGAACCTAGTTATAAAATATAACTTAGCTTAGCACAACTTCTCCTGCAAAGTGTTGAATGTTACTGAATTGAAGAGACTACAAGGATGAGAATGTGAACACAGAATAACAAGGAGGCATTACTTTGCTACAACTAATAAAAACAATATCATTCAATTTGAACATCCTTCATCTTAAAATCAGTAAACCTGTAGTGGCAGCCAGTACTACTTTAACGTTTTAAAATCACCAGAACAAGATTTTACTGGGAGTTTCCATGTGATATGATACATTTATATTTGTTGTGTTGGGCTTACACCTCATTTGGATCTGATTAATGATTTTTGTTTCATCATACTTACCAGAATTATTCAGCTCCCTGTTCAGCTCATCTCTCTCTGCAGTCAGGTGTTTATAACTCGCCTAGTTGAGGATAGTTATCACAATGATTATGTTCACAACTAAAGAGACAGTTAACTTTGAAACAGGATTCCCACATGTAATTGATCTGTTCTCTCACAGAGCTGAAACTAGAAATGTGAACTAATAATGTCATCTAGTAAACTGTGACTTCATGTAGACAGGACTTTTATGAAGGTTTTTAAAGCTGAAAAAATTGACTTGGCATCAATTTAATCAATAACTCAAATGTTAAACACAAATTCATACCTGGAAATGTACTACCTAATGAACCAATATTTACTCTTTCAGTCAATCTTGTGGCTGAATTGGAGCAAATTTCCTCAGCCAGGTTCCAAAGTTTTATGGAACGTGAGATATACAAAAGTAACCAGATGTAAGTCCACACAATGTATGTGTACTTTGTCCAGGTGTCCAAACACCAAGACCATCAAATAATGAAACATCATATCAGTCCTTCTGGCACTAACAAGATCTATCAGTGATATTTAGCATCCCGTTAACAGCCGTGAGTTGGTGTACAAGACAGGGTGTGGTAAATGTGCTAAATGTACTGGCTATTAAGTGCTGTTGTTTTTGTCGCAGTGTCCATATGTGTTATTCTCTGTTCTTCGTATCTATGTATGCATGTACAGACTACGGTGACAAATTTCCTGTGAAGGACAATAAAGTATATATTAGTATTTCATATAACACTGACTATATATTAGCACATTGTTAGACTTACATCCCATTTAATCCTGGTTATTGGAGAAGTTTTATCATGACACCCAAGTTGATCTTCTTCATATTGTCTCTCTCCTTTTTTTACAGCTGGCATCAGTACCTGGTGGAGAGAATGACACAATTTGTAAAACAATCTTGCAGTGTATTAAGTGACTATTTAAAGAAGACTAATATTAATAGTTTATTAATGTATTTATGGAACTAAATGAGACCAATGCTGGTTTTGTATGTTTATTTTAGAACCACACACATCCCTGACCTTTAGCTGACCAACAAATTATAGTAAAGGTTGATTTTGACTCAACTCTCCGTGCCCTCTGTCAGTCCCTGTCCTTCAAGGAGCTATTAAGCCAGCAACCCAGTGTTAACAACTCCATCACACTACAAAGTGTGATTAAAGATGTGCTCTGTGGTTGACCCTGTTTATCCTGGAATCAGAAGGAGGCCAGGGAGATGCAAGTGCATCCCGACCTAATGGGCTGGTCGGTTCTGAAAAGGAGAACAAAGACCTCTGATCCTCCAAATCATCTGCACTACCTTTGAGTGCCAGGAGGGGCTTCCAGTGAGACAGTGTGTCTGCAACCTCTTTAATCCTCTTAAACAGTGAGAAACAAACACAACCAATAAGGTGTTACATGTATCAGAGAGTGCACCATCAGGGATATGTAAATGTAGGCCCATAGGAACAGTAGGCGATGACGATGGAAAAGGCAAACTTGACATAAAACAACAGCTCACGAGTCAAAACACATCAGCAGCAGATCACATATGCTACTTAAAAGACCGGCGTGAGAGAAAGAGTATGAAACAGCCGAGGCCACAGATCACATGACAAAGTCAGCACAGTTTCAAAATCAGCCCATATATTCAAACTCACCAAGAACATTATTTAAGAAGTGGAATCAGGTCGTTTAAAAAAATTGTTATTGAACTCCTCTTCTGTCTGAGGACATCTGGAAACAAATAATTTCCAAACATAACAAACAAATTACACTTTAACAATTACAAAGCTAACAAACACATTGAATCTTTTAAATCACCATATTGCAGTTTAACGGAAGATAAATGTTTTAATTTGTGTTACTTTTATTGTTGCTCAAACAACAAGCTGCTCATTTTAAAGTGAACGACTTTCAGTCCTTGATTCAAACCATTTGTCATAAAGGCCTTTACACACTTTACACATTTCTTTTCAAACATCATCTCACAGGAAGTGTGCTGGGTTATGCTGCTAAAAAACATGCATACTTTATTGACTGCTGGAGGCTAATGTGTAAAAGAGGAGGAAGACGAACCAGGCTCAAAAAGTGAGGTTCAATCTGCTCTGCATCTTTAAATACAGGAGACTGTGCTAGTAGAGATGGAGAATTTATCTGTGCACACATGCAGATACATACAGACACACAAGAGCTGTGGTTCAGAGAAAAAAATAAGATTCTCTTGAGCTCTAATCTTTAAACAACCCACCACGAGCGTGACTGCAAAAACGCCACAAAACATTAGACCCACATGCAAGTCAGTCTGTATGAGTTTAATTTCAAAATAACTTATTCACAGTTTAAGTTATATCTGTATGCACTATCCAGTGGCAAACAACGACCTCTCTCATGTGGAGAAAACTCTGCTGGATGAATGTGATGTGTTTTTATTACACCAGCTCAAATGAAAACATTTTATAGTGGACTCTATACTGGAGACAGTGCTGTTCTGTGAATGCCAATCATTACCGTATGTGCTGGGACTGTAATGTAATCTATTACATTCAGCCGGATTAAAGAGAGTGTACTACTTGATTTTAAGATCTGGTTTAGGTTCTGTGTACTACACGTAGGACTGTCACCTTAAAATATGACTTTATTAAGACATACATATTTGATTAAAATAATCCTGGCTGCAAGTACAGAACTGTAAGTACAGTTGATATTAAAAGCATTTCCTTCAGAAGTGAGAATATGTGGTCACTATTGACACAGTTGAGGTACCAAAATACACTTATGCTTCCTATACCATGTAAAGTTTGATTACATCTTAAGAGTAAAACTGGAATTTCTGAATGTGATTAACAAAAAATTATGAAACTATTTCATTTAATAAAAGAAGTATGTTTATCATATTCACAACAATGTCTCTTAAATCTTCAATCTAAATGCAGTTCAAACTTTGATGATCATTTTTTGCATTGTCTGTGAATATTTCCTTCCCTGCCTCTGCTCGTTACTGTATGTGGTCGGGGTTTGAAACTAAGCTATAGATACCAACTCGACAAAGAAGTGAGTTCACACAGAAGTTGACGCTTTAGACGGTAAGAGCATGGTGTAACACGCACACACATTTGCAGGCAGATTTGGATGCATAAATAGTTTGATTTAAATTGCCATTATAGTACTGTAATATAGTAAAATCAATAAAGTCGAGAGATGCACCATTTCTCAGTTTGAAATTCACCAAAAAATAAATATTCTCATTATTTTCATGAGAACATTGCTGTATAAGTATGGTATATTAAATCTGTCCTTTAAAGGTTGTTTAACATTTAGAAACATCTAATGTCAAAAATGGCATGTAATATTCATAGGTATGTTTTCATTAGTTTCACCTGAATATAGCCGCTGGTCGCCTTCTATAGAGTCCGCCATGTTGAACCACCATGTTTCTACAATGGACCAGAACGGACAAACCAAACACTGGCTCTAGATAGCGGCGTTCGCTTTTTTTCACTTGGAAGTGGAGGGGGAAGCGAGGCAGTTGCAATACAAAAAAAAAAGACAGGGAATGAATACCGGAGCAGGTATTCATTATTTTTTCATTGTAATGACTTTGTGTGGATGCAGTGCCAAAGCAAAAAGAAAAAGATGTACAGACATCTGGTGAGTTTGGATGCTGAGTTACAGAGACACTTTCTTTTCGCAGATCCAGAAGTTTGGAAGATCACATTTGATATCATTCCAGCTGTTTTTCTTTTCATGTTGTTTTACTTCTACACAGTCTTCTTTAAGGTCATAGTTGTTAGGCTCACCATCCATCCAGTAGCTGAAACCCCAAACCAAACAATATGTTATTTGTAAAGCTGAAACATTCAGGATTTAGTTTTTAGAAAAAGGTAGTCAGATATTATTATTACAATAATTGTAAAGCTTCTTTCTTTTAGCACAAGAGATTGTAAAATGTGTGAACCTTGTGGTCAGTGGAGTCCCATCAACCCATTTCCACGTCCCCTCTGTCTCACTGTCAGTCAGTCCAATCCACATGTTATCCTTCAATTGTCTGGTGAAATTCTTTTAAAAGAGAGAAACAATTAAACAAATGTGAATTCAGCTTCTACCTCAGTCAACTTTCATTCATTAATCTTTTGTTGACTGAATACAAGAATGTTTCTGTCTTACACATAGATTAAAAGATGCATTACAACACACACCTGCTCTTCTTCGCTGTTGATAATCATCAGGTCAGCACCTTTTTGCCGACAGTCATCTCTACTGGCTTTCCAGGTTTTCTTGATTGAAGAAATATAATAGACACTACCACTGAAATACACCCATCCTTGTTTGGAATAGTGAACTGTTGAAAAGAGAAATAATTGAATGGTAAATAGACATATTTATTTGTATAGCACCTTTCTAGTCTTCCAACCACTCAAAGCACTTTTACACTACATGCCACATTCGCCCTTTCACACACATTCACACACTGATGGAAAAGCCCATCGAACAGAAACGGACTCGTTCATTCACACACCGATGACGCAGCATTGGGAGCAATTTGGGGTTTTTTAAGTATCTTGCGCAAGGATACTTCGACATGCAGCGGATGTTGACAAACAATTTGCCTCTCGCTGTATCTGATTTGAGGTTCAGTGTTTTGCGCAAGGGCACTTTGGCAGGATCAGATTTTTACAAATATTGCAGTCGCACCTTTTGGTTCCCTGATTACTGGGTTTAATAGATTTACCCTCATACTTACCCCAAAAATTCAGTTCCCTCTTCAGCTCGTCTCTCTCTCCAATCAGAGAATTCAGCTGTAAAGCTGTAATTTTGAGTAGAGATGTTAAAATAATTTGCAGAATTAATTTTATTACAGTAATTCATTAACACATATATAGTTTGTTTAATATTTGTCAGTACAAACCACCCTCCAGCAACAAACCAGAGATCTGTGGCTTTTTATATACTGGAATATGACGTTTTTTAAAATCACCAGATGCCACTGATGCTGAAGTATATTCATTTACTTTCTTTCAAACAGTTATTTTGCAGACTAACAAGATTTTACTGGGAGTTTCCATGTGATATGATACATTTATATTTGCTGTGTTGGGCTTACACCTCATTTGGATCTGATCAATGATTTTTGTTTCATCATACTTACCAGAATTATTCAGCTCCCTGTTCAGCTCGTCTCTCTCTGCAGTCAGGGAATTCAGCTGTAAAGCTGTAATTTTGAGTAGAAACATTAAGATAATTTGCAACAGAATCAGAGCATGCCAGACAGACAGAATTTCTATATTTTATTACAGTAATTCATTAACACAGATATAGTTTGTTTAATATTTCTCAGTACAAACCACCCTCCAGCAACAAACCAGAGATCTGTGGCTTATATACTGGAATATAAGATAAAAATATGATGTAAAATAAAAAATTGTAACATGGAGTTAATAATGTCATATTCTCTTTTCAGAATTTGAGTTATTGCCAAGTAGGTTTTTACACATATGAGGAATTTGTCTTGGTGCACTGGTGCATAAAATATACAAATCACACAAAAATCACACAAGAATAAAAAAAAAAAAAGATAAGAAAGATAAGAAAAGATAAAACACTGCACTGATTGCCCGTACAGGTGTGAATGTGAGCATGAATGTTTGTCTCTATGTGACTGTGTGCCGGTGATGAACTGGTGACCTTTCCACAGTACACTCCACCTTTTGCCCAATATCAGCTGGGATCTGAACTAGCCCCATGTGGGAAAAGTGGGTATAGAAAATGGATGGATGGATGTTTTAATTAATTGATAACAGGTGAGGTAGTTTGTTTAATATTGTTATGCATATGCAAATCCCTCATACAGAGTGAAGTGTCAGCTTTCATTTGATATGTAGTGTTTGTCTAGTATTGCGCTTATTGGACTTTGGATACAAGTGTTATTGGTGTAGTTTCATCCTCATACTAACCAAAGTCAGTCAGATTCTTCTTCAACTCGTCCCTTTCTTCAGTCAGGTTTTTGCATCCGGCCTCAATACCTGTTGTCTTACTTTCAGAATTATCTGAAAAAGCAAACAGTCATCAGCATAGTGTTACTACTATTATTATGTTACTGTTATACTATCATGATTTGCAAATATTATTCATAACTATGTGCTGATTCGTAAATAAACTATGAGCTTAATACTTATTGATGGAAAAAACACTAACAACTGAAATTATTTTTTCTCTATTTGCTTGTGTTTTGCCTATTTGGATGTGTTCACTTAATTTGCAGTGTGTTGAGCTGTTGGGGTTATCATTAAAAATAACAATAATCAGATAGAAATCAGAGGAAAAACTATTCAAAACAACTCACAGAGAGCGAGACGCAGGAAATATTGAGAGCAGCTTGTAGGATACACAGGAGTCCAAAGCTCACAGCAACCAGTCGGTAGAGATTTTTTTCTGTGTGCAGAAATCAAACACACACATGAAGAATTGTTATTATTCTGGATGAACTTTACATGTAGTTGTTTAATTATAGAACTGTATGAATCTGATAATTTACAAAAAATAAACTCTTGCTGTGCACCCAAACAGAAAAAGATACACAACCTTAAAGTTACTTACCCCTGGATGAAGCATCAGGTTGGTTCTCTTCGTCCAAAGTCATCTCAGACTCCTCTTTAAAGACAAACTCAAAATATTTTTACCACCTAAGTTCTACTAAAGTGTGTAAGTGTGAGAACTGCACTGATGGCTTGTGTAAACTGCTTCTTCTTTTCTGTTATATTAATCTGCTTACCACAGCAACTCACTTCCCTTTCTTGCCTTTCAGTAATCAGATCATTATCATTCATTTTAGTTGAGCACGTAGGAAGAGATAAATTACATGTTTTACTCTCAAGAGTTGGGGCGAGTCTCAAATGATTGACACATTGTGTCAGTATGAACAAACAAAACTACAGAAACTCAAAGAAAAGTAATCTCAAAAGTAAAACCTCCAAACAAATGAATGTTGTAATTGTTTTTCCTCTTTGATAATATGTTCTTTTGTATACAGTTCCCTCTGTTTCTTTCTCACTGATCACTGTTGCTTTGTGCCATTTGTCAACGCACAAATAGGACTTTCTTAAATTTTCTTTGTAGTCTTGTTTTTAATGAGATTAGAAAAGGTCAGTTGTTGGCTGATAAACCGTATACTCAAAAAGACAGAAACAAACCACCAACAACATAAAAATGGCTTTAAGAGTATTTAAGGTGATTCAGAGAATATATTTGCCTCTACAACAGGAGCTACATGACTCTATATGACAAGGGAAGAGATCTGACCACAAACAAACAGTTTGTCACTGCAGTAAGATGAAAATATCAAGTAAAGGTCACTGGTGTCATCATTATTTTAACTTGAGATGGTGTGAAGATGTTCTTTTTGGAAACAAGACAAACAATGACTCAGACTAAATGTGCACAGCTTGAATATTTCATTACCAATAATAAGTTGTATGATATCTACAAACAGTAAAAGCAATAAACTGCATTATTGCAATATGATATAAAAATGTTGCTAAATGTTTCAACATCTTAGGTTATAACAGTAAATGGTGAAAAAATATACGTACTTAAAAGTTGAACTGGGGGTTTCTGACAACTCTTCATCACCTGTCTGAAATACAAGACCACAGCTGCCGTTGTTTTTGAACCATAAACCTCAGTACAAGGTCCAACTTGTTTCTGAAGCTTTTAACCACCTCTTGCACATCTTGCCTTCGTCAGCAGATGAGGATTTAGTTGTTATCCTATTTAGGTATGAGATTGTGGTCACATGATAACAGTTAGTTTGGGAAATCATTACACACTAATAGGCATCTTGATTGGTATGTAAACAGGAAATAAAGTGTATTGTTGCATTAATTTCTCACCAAGAGTGTTAAAATAAAACCATCAGCCTCAGGATGGCAGCAATAATGTACCTTAAGAAAATATGAACTAATGAGAAAGAAGTATAACAGATACACTTCACCATTTTAATAAATGAGAACAGGAAAAACCTCAATAGTTAAAGGTCATCAATGGTTTATAATAATGGGAGTGTTTTCATAACACCAGAATAAGTGTATTTATATTAAATGAATCACATTAATGTATAATGAAGGACATTAGCTCTCAGTAGAAGCAGTGTGTGGCCCTGAAAAGGACCTTTGTGCTGTTGGTTGTAACAGCAGGTTTACTTGGAGCTGGTGTACTTGGTCACAGCCTTTGTTCCCTCAGACACAGCGTGCTTGGCCAGCTCACCGGGCAGCAGCAGGCGGACGGCGGTCTGGATCTCCCTGGAGGTGATGGTGGAGCGCTTGTTGTAGTGAGCCAGACGGGAGGACTCACCGGCGATGCGCTCAAAGATGTCGCTCACAAAGGAGTTCATGATGCCCATAGCCTTGGAGGAAATGCCGGTATCAGGGTGGACCTGCTTCAGCACCTTGTACACGTAGATGGCGTAGCTCTCCTTCCTGGTCTTTCTCTTCTTCTTGCCGGTCTTGGTGACCTTAGACACGGCTTTCTTGGAGCCTTTCTTGGGCGCTTTCACTGTATCGGGCATTGTTGCTCTGACTCGGTTTATCGACCGCGGTGAACTTCTGACTGTCGGAGAGGTTTATATCCATGAGCCTGATGCTAATGTCACTGCGCTGTTGCTCGCACACGATTGGCTTCAGTGTTGTTGTCGTCACGAAGCTCCGCCCCACACAGTCAGTAATTATGGTGATTGAAAATAAAAAGTGATGAATGTATATAAAATAAAAAAGTCTTCCAGAGTATTAGAGACATAACTTGTTAAACTGTTAAAATATTAGATCATTTTACTTTATTTCATGTAAAATAAATGTAAATGTGTACAAGAAGGTTACAGTCAGTGACCTGATCATTTCTAATAAATGCTGCAGATTAATAATCTTTGGACAATGTTAGAATAAATATTTATAGGAAGGAGCACCAGACTAAACAACCAGAGAAACTTGTGCCACCAGTATTGTTTTACATCCACAGATCAGCTATACAGAGCGTCTGTCATCCAACAGCATCTA